AAATGATAGGATGGATAATGAGAACTTTCAAAACGAGAGATGCCAAGCCATGATGATCCTTTTCAAATCACTTGTTCTCTCTAGGCTGGAATACTGCTGTACATTAACATCTCCATTCAAAGCAGGTGAAATCGCAGATCTAGAGAGTGTACAGAGATCCTTTACTGCACGTATAAGTTCTGTCAAGCACCTTAACTACTGGGAACGCTTGGAAGCACTTGACTTATACTCGTTGGAACGCAGGAGGGAGAGATATATCATAATCTACACTTGGAAAATCTTGGAAGGAATGGTCCCAAATCTGCACACAGAAATCACTCCCTACGAAAGTAAAAGACTGGGCAGGCGATGCAAAATGCCGCCAATAAAAAGTAGGGGCGCCATTGGTACACTAAGAGAAAACACCATAAGTGTCCGGGGCCCAAAACTGTTCAACAGCCTCCCATCAAGCATTAGGGGAATTGCCAATAAACCCCTGGCTGCCTTCAAGAGAGAGCTGGACAGATACCTAAAGTCAGTGCCGGATCAGCCGGGCTGTGGCTCGTACGTTGGACTGCGTGCGGCCAGCAGTAACAGCCTAGTTGATCAGGCCCTGATCCATCGGGAGGCCTGGTCATGGACCGGGCCGCGGGGGCGTTGATCCCCGGAATAACCTCCAGGTAACCTCTCCACGAGAGAACTTGACAAGCTTCTCCAATCAGTACCTGGCCAGCCGGGCTGTGGTTCCTACGTGGGACTGCGTGCAGCCAGCAGATAGAGCCTGGTTGATGAGACACTGATCCTACCCTTACTTTTGACGAGTTTCAAGTTTTTTTTCTACTCTGAGGCCGGCCCTGGATCAGGCTTGTTTGGTGCTTGCCTGATCAACCAGTCTGGTGATGCTGGCGGCCCACTGGCCCACATCCATCACAGCCAGGTTGATCTGACATTTGGTCTGGGACCGGGCTGCGGGGGCACTGACCCCTGAAACATCTAGCTGTTGCACATGTGTCTTATTCATTAGGTTGGTGCATGATGCTGCTAGCAAACCAGCTGCACTCTCAGTTCTTTGGCTGAATTCTGAGCTTTTTTTTTTATTTCACTCTCAATGCTGTCAAGGTTTGTTGTATATGACATCCGTTGCATGAACAGTGAACAAGTTATTCTTACACCGGTCTATAAAAATATGGTAAATATGTTATAGTCAGTGGTGTTAGTCTGGAACCTAGTTAACACTGACATAGTTAACACTGACAGAGATGATAATGTGCTACGCAAGAGCCTGAGAATCTTGGATCACTCAAACATTTGATGAAATATTTCAAACTTTGCATATAATGAAGCATTTCTCAGACTAGACAATTCCTTTCATTAATACGTATAACTGTTTTATGAAATATTTCCAAAGAAAAAGACAACATGGCAGTAAGATTCCACTTATTTCCATCACATGATGGCAGGTGTGTTATCTCAACAACATTTTGCAATGGTCTTTTAGTTCATAGATGCCACTTGACATTAAAGAAGTGTTATTCCAGCGGGTAGGTATATTATGAATCAACTTGTTCTTTGGCAGTTATATTTGTTCTTGAATTATAATCATAACTAAGCATAAGCACTAAAATTTGTTCTTAAAGAACCTCTAGTTTACTATGGACTCGTCACTAGAGTGACTGAAGTAGCTCACTATTTACATAGAGACACAAGTGTTGTCTTTTATTATTCTCTGCGCCAGAATGCAATCATGGATAACCATTATTTTCGTGTTTGAGTGAATGAGTAACTTACAATCGTAAGGTCGTGTTAATTTTACTATTTTTAAGCACGCGTAAAATTAATTTTAAAAGTATCGACTGGCATGTGTCACTTTTTCACTGGCACCGATACTTTGGCACATGCCTAAACTAATGTATACCAGTTAGTAAAAATCAAACAATAGCAACACCAGCAGCTACACTAACGGAAAAAATGAGGAGCAGAAGGTAACAGTAGCAAAAACATGAGCGGCAAAACAGTTGCAGTAACATAAGTAGCAAGAAATGATGATAGCAACATGAGCAGAAGGAAACAGTAACAACAAGAGTATTAGTTTTCAAGATGAAACTATCACTACTTCAAAGTGCCAGTTCAAAAAGGCTATGCTGGATATATGGACCATTGAGATGCTAACAACAGTCTGGTTGAACAGGCAATCAACGGAAAAGTCTGGCCTCAGGCCTGGAAGAATAATTCTCGAAGCCTTTCAGAGGTATGTCACAGGCAGGAAGCAACAGCAGAAACAGGAACAGCAGCAGTAACACAGGCAGCATCAACAGCTTTTTTCTCCCTCCCTGGTTAGCCTTCCGAGTTCTTTGACTACATAAACACACTTTTCCAATCTTAACTGTTCCGTGTCAGCCTCACAGGGCTCCACACCAATAATATTATCACCAACTGAGAGAAAAAGATGAGACAGTAACATAGAAAGGGAAAAAAAAAAACATTGGGAAAAATTAGAAAAATTGTAGAGACTAAAAAAGGGGGAAGACTATGTACCTTACATTTTAGTTTGGATTAGAAATGATGTAATAAACACCAACAAGTAGAACGCTGGCAATAAAAAGTTAAGAACGTACCAGCACAAACTCCATACATGAAGCCAAGTAAAGAATTAGACGTTTGTAACATCTGGGCATCTTTATCGACGTTTCAGTCTTTCCACAAGCTGAGCCATCAGAGTAGAACTACTGCAGATACCATTACAGTATATCAAAATCAGTTTCCAGTTTATTAGTTTTTGCGTAGAGCTCCATCTCCCGGTACCCGCCGTTTAACCTCTACTCGTTCTGCACATTCCTGCCCTCACACGCTTTGGTTTATTTACATTTCATGTAAATGATATACAGTACCGACAATATGAAGAATTAGACACGTGTGTAATTTCTGGGCAGCATTTTTTGTAGACTTTTCGTCATCCAGTGACTATCATATAAATCCAAGACTATTATTGGAAGACTAGAACTATATACAAAAGACGAGGTAATCACTCCCTCAGCCTTCACCAATTCCAAGGCTGAAGGACGGATTACCTCGTCTTTTGTATACAGTTCCACATACATTCTTCCAATTATGTCCTGGAATTTATATGATAGTCACTGGATGACGTAAAGTCTACAAAAAATGCTGCCCAGAAGTTACACACGTGTCTAATTTTTCATATTGTCGGTACTGTATATCATTTACATGAAATGTAAATAAACCAAAGCGTGTGAGGGCAGGAATGTGCAGAACGAGTAGAGGTTAAACGGCGGGTACCGGGAGATGGAGCTCTACGCAAAAACTAATAAACTGGAAACTGATTTTGATATACTGTAATGGTATCTGCAGTAGTTCTACTGATGGCTCAGCCTGTGGAAAGACTTCCTTCGTGATCGCCTGATTAGCCAGGCTATAGCTACCTGTAGCCACCAGGCCTACAGCCATCACAACATGGCTGGTCCAGCACCTCCTGTGGAAACTGGTCCAGGCCAATACACGTCTTTCCTCATGAAATGAGTTTTGTATCACTATGTATTAGTTTTATACAGCAGCTTCCCAGTATGCATCACCAACCCACGGCCACAAAGTGTTTTAAATTATTCTTTTAGACCTCTCAAGACGAAATTTTCTTCTCATAGTTTACTCGCTTACAGATTATACTGATAAACTGGTTAATTTTCACTTTATATCTAGTTTGAAGATCGGGCGGTAAATACAACTGCATTTCACTGTTTTGAAGAGTGTTCTCTCCCCATTTATAAATTTAAACTTTAATGTGGCCCCCTTAAACAAAAACTGATTAACCGGAAGACTGACAAACTCGGACCACCAAAGAGAGAAGAACGGGGGCAGGTAACTAATATGAAACCTCAAGTATGAGCGTTAATTGCAGGGCGTGCTTAACTGTGGGTGCGGGCGTGGCAATGAGCGCATCAGAGCCAGGATTACCAGCCAAGTAACGGGGCGTGGCGAGTAGTGAGCACTGGGATGAGGGCTCAACCAACACAGGAAGAAACTCTAAAGATTTACAGTGCCTTGGCGCAAGATGACATTCAGCGCTCCTCCACAGAAAGATATTCATACACAAAGTTACACATCTATAACTCAAAAATATACACCAATCACGCATAAAAATATTACACTAAAGTTAAAATAACCTCTAGTTAAAATAACCTCTAATGATTAACATCAACAGACACTAACATTTCCCCGAGGTCCATACAAGTGCCCTGGTGAGTATATAAAAACGTGAATAGGCCAAAGCTGTAGACAAACAGTTAGAATAAGTTGCAGTTAGCTGACCACCACAAGTCACATAAGGTCAGAACTTGCAAGCCGATGAGTATATGTTTTGTTCTCAATATACAGAGAATCATCTTTTCAGTACTTTCCTCCATACGTGACGAGAATTACCAATAGACGTCTAACGGTTTCAAAAGGAAGTCTGATAAGATCCTTAAATTAGCTACTTATTAACCGGAATGTGGTGCCAACAATGGACTGCGTGAGGCCAACACAAACAAACTAAGTGATCTGGCCATCAACCAGGAGGCCTAGTGTGGAACCGACCACGGGGAGAAAACCCCTGAAATTAACTAAGCCAACGCAAGTGAACCGAACATGACAGCTGTCTTTTGTCTTCTACTACTCATAACCATGGAAATAATGGAATAAAATACCAACACCATGGATAAAATGCAATGCAATTTGATCCTTTTATCGAGTCAGAAACATCTGTTTTTGACAAGACCCAATGTGTGGGCCAAACGTCGTCAATAAAGATTTGGATTATACTGCATTTCTCTCACTGTTTGCTTGCAACCAAACCAATTGTCACCTACACACCCAACACTGAATAAATATGCTAATCTTGTTTCTCTACTATATCTAATTAATAAGAGAATAACTGTGCAATTAGTGCATGACTAAGTTGGGCAGCATCACTTGCCACTATGGTGTGAAAAATGTATTACGCAGACGGCGCAGAGCAGGTAGGTGCTCACCTTCCACCACTGGCTCTTGTAACACCACTCAGTGTAGGTGTTGTCATTGGAGAGATGTATCCAGAGTAGCATCCGTTTGGTCTTCTCCAGCTGCCAGCGCTCACGGTCTTCTGGGACATTACTGCGCCGCATCTTGGCCAGTTGTTCCCATAACAGGTAGTCACTGTCTCTATAAGATTCCATGCGGGACACTGGCAGTTTACCACTAGACAAAACGCTCCCCACGTACTCTCCATTGTCCCCCTGCTTCTTTGCCCAGTCCATGTATTCAGAAGCTGACTTGTCTTCGGCGAAGATAACGCTCTCTATGTCTGACCAAGTGGCACTTAAGTCACCAAGATTTTTGCTCATGTCAAAGTGTACAGAACGTTTAGAGAAACCCAAATCAGTATCAGGGTCTATAGCATCTTTGATGGGACTGGGAGAGACAGGGGCACTGACCTGAGCAACAGGAGTAGACGAGACATCAAAGCCTCCTGGGTCAGAATACAGGTTTTTATTCTTGGAGATGTGCTCGTGCACATACTTGGCCAAGTCAGCCAAGTCGAAGCTATAGTCTTCCCCTTGGGCCAGTTGGTGGTCCATAAGATGGTCCAAGGCCATGATGGTGCTGTTGAGATTGTCTCTAGGTAGCGTAGATGCCGGTGTGTAATCTGGTGTAGGTAAACACACTTGATCCACGCCTCCGTCTGCTCTTGTTACAGTGATAACCTCTCTATCTTTTCCTTTCTCCTTCTCGTTCTTCTCTTGTTTCTCTTCCTTAGTATCCTTGACATCAGCTTTTGCTTGCGAAGGCTCTCCACATTCACTTTTTACACCTGTAACCTCCTCTTTTTCACTCACCTCACTCTCAATGCTCTGACGCCGCATCTCGTACAACGAGCCGAAGATCTTGTTCATGTGAGGTGCAAGCTGCTCCCTCTTCAGTGCCACAGAGTTAATAGAGTCACTCGAGATGGTGGCTGTCAGAGGTCCCTTGCTTGCTGCTTCCGGTTTTATCGCTGGCAGCTTCTCGTTGTGCTGAGAACCTTCACTCTCGTCATCTTGGTTAAACCTGCACTTCAACTTTAGCTTCAATTCTCGAATCATCATGTCATTGTTGTTTCCCATGATAGACACCCCGAGCTTCTGCACTCTCTTTATCTTTGCTGTCGACGTGCCTTCCCTTACTTCCGTGTTCTCACTGCCCCCCAACAGTGTGGGAGGGTCTGCTGAGGATCTCTCATCCACCAAAATTTTAACTTGAGGTTCACTTTCTTGTTGCTCTCGGGAAGTCCGCAAAATTTCCTCGCTAATTTCTTTGCGTGTGCCGTAGATTTCACTGTCATTCTCATATGAGTGGACTTCTCGTGACTCTGTGGATGAAACGGTGTTTTGGAAATAGAGACGATCTTCCTCATGCATCGGAGAAGGCAAAAGGCTGCTATGGAAGGTCATATTTTGTTGGGAATCAAGTTGCTGAAGTGACACATTACGGTCCAATGTTCCTTTAAACATTTCCTCAGTGAGCTCCACTACTCTGCCCTTACGGATAATGACCGGAGGATTAGAGGCACTATCGTCACTACTTCTACTAACAAAGGCACCATTCATGGAATGGAAAAGGAGAGAGTTGCGGGCACCATAGATAGGTTCCCCATGACGAGAACCGTAGAGCTGCAGCTCACCATCGTCCAGTGTGCCTTCAGTGACCGGAGACTTTATGGATGGTGTGGAGGAAATACAGGAACGTGAGGCCAGGGACTCTATACTCTGGTACACATGGTGTTTCAGCAACACCACCGTCGGATTATCTTGCCCGCGCTGAACAAGACATCCGCTGGAATCACACACTTCGTACACGTCCTCTTCTGTGTCCTGGTATTCGTGGGTTGTGGTGCTAGTGCTTCCACCTCCGTCACGACGCTCAAGGTCACTCGGGAGTCGCAACTGGCGTTGTTGGTAGGCACGAAAAAGCTGGCGACCATCGATCTCTTCATCAGTGTACTCGGTGGGGCTGGTTACTCTTAAGGGTGCCAGCTGGCGAGTCATAGGGGAGGATGGAGAAACACCGTCCCTTCTATCCTCCACATTTTGGAGGGCTTCTCCAGTACCTGTCTGAAGACTGCAGTCTGAAGACTTCACTCCCTCAGGAGGTAACGCAGCTGGAGAGCACTCCATGCTGTCAGTCTGGTGCAAGGACTTTCTGCGCATATTGCCCACCACCCTTGGACCGGGAGTCGCCAAAGCCATGTCAGCCTGAGCCTTCAAAGTAGCAGCATACCTCTGCATGGCAACTTTCTCCTCATCAACAGCCTCCATGTAATCCCACGATGTATCAGAATCCAGGTAAGGATGTGTGCTCATAGATTTGTTTTCCACTAGTTCGCTATTGTCAGATTCGTTGCCCTGATTTACGACAAACTTGTGCCGGAATAAATTCTTTTTCTTCTTCTTGTCCTCTAGGTCGCTGGCATCTTCTTTCTCCGCGAGGTTGCCCTTGAAAATAACGCTCTCTAAGCTGGCCACGCTGTCCGTCTCGGAGTCCGCTGTGTCGTGGCTGGTAGTGGTGCCGCCGTGGTACAGTGCTTCGTTGTGATCTGGATGATAGTCGTACGTTGAGTCCTCTTCGCTTGGCAACCTCTTGCCGGACAGCCGTTGAAAATCCACCTTGAAAGACTGGTAACCATGCAGGTCCTTCCGCGAGTCCAGTCCTCGCTGAAGCTTCATCACAGGTACTTTATGAGACACTTCTGGCATCGAGGTGTTGTTTCCACAAATATCTAATGTGGAGTCGTCCCGAACGATGGGCAGGACTGAAGATTTTAAGTTTTCTTTAGAGCCAAATCTTATAAACCCCAGTCCCATGAGACCATTGTATATCTTTTGTTTGAGAGGCAGCTTGGTCGGTTCTTTATTTGGTTGAATATTGCCACGGTGATCTAGGTTGCCGGCACTCCATGGCCATGGGTGTTGTTTCAAGTTCAGAGGGTTCTCTTTAGAGATGTTCTGAATATCATTTACTGGGTGTTCCTGCGGGTCTTCGTCTGTGTCGTAGATGGGTAGTTCTTGTTCGCTCTCGACTAGTGTTGAAGGAGTGGGTGTGGGAACTGGAGTTTCTTCTGCATCCTCGTCACTTCTTTCCTCAAAATCTTTGTTCTTTCCCTCTTCTTCTCTAAGTGTGTCATCAAGCAGTTTCATAGCACTCAAGGCAGAATCACCAGTCCCGGTGTCGTGCTTCTGCTCGAGAACCTTATCCAGGAGACTGTCAGTGCTGCTCACCACATTGGAGACGGCTGTCTCATCCAACGCCTCCTTAATGGCTGGAACCTTGGGCTCGAAGATGAGAGAGTCGATGCTGCCAAATGTATCATAATCAGTATTCTCTCTGCTCCCTAATTTTGAACTCTTGGAACTTTCTTCCATAGGGACATAAATATGACCAAGATTTATGTTGCTCAAGGTTTCCCAATCCTGTGCCATGGCCTCCTTCAGTCGTTCTCTGATCTCGTGATTTCTCTCTTCTTCGTCCAAAATGTTGTCAAGATGAAGGTGCTGTATATGTTCAGTGATAGCCTGTACAACCTTGTTTCTGGTTGTGGTATTAATCTGCTTCTGTCCATCAATTATCTCACGCACGCGTCGTTGCAATTCCAGGTCACCACTGCCGCTAGTTTCTTGTTGCATTTTATTACTAGACGCGGAGGAGCTGGGTGCTCCCCTCAGTGATGCGCGAGCCACATGAGCCATGGGCTCGTACACATCTTCACTGCCACTGATGCTCCATGTGTCAACAGGGAGATACTTGCCTCGGCCTGCAGAGGAACAGTGCTCTTCTACATGAGCCAACTTGCGGAGACGTTTTTCCTGCTCTTCTAAAGTGCGGCTGACGAGGTAGTCCTGTCGGAGATCCACGCTCGCTCTGTTCATAGGTTCGTAGATTTTCTCGAACTCTCCATTTGACCAGGAATCTTGGGAGAGAAGAGATCGATCTCCAGGTGAGGAGGGCCTATGGGGACTGATGTGCTCTTCATGTGTCTTGCCTCCAGCTTGCTTGGCACTACAGTGGCACTCAGCCTCAGAGGCAGAGCTGACCTCGGTGCCGCACTGCTCACAAGACACACAAGAACACAGGTCCCAGTTGGAGTCAGTGGTGTGAGTGGGCGAGTAGTCGCGTTCATCCTCGCTCTCCTGCATCTCTTGAAGGCGAGTTAGGATCTCAGAGCGAGACACGTAGTTCTCTCTGCTGTCATTCATCTCCCTAGCAACCTCGGAGCGGGAAGCATACGTTGGGTCTACTTTAGACAATATGTCTGAACGCGATATATATACAGTATCATCGGGTTGACTGGGAAGCGACTTCCAGGACTGGCTGTCTTCATCTACCAACAGATCATTGTGCCTCGCCAAGGAGTTTTGCAGGTTCTGAATGTTTCTGTACAATTCAGAGCGTGTCACGTAATCAGTCTCTCCGAATTCGCTATCCGTGTCGCTGAGAAGCGTTTGACAGGCTGGGCGGGGAGGGGAGTGTACTTCGGCTACCACCACCTGGTGTTGGCGTGTGGTGGAGGCCGAATGACGCTCGCCGCTTCCTAGTGTTTCTTTTGGGCTCTTGAAGTTTCTGTAATGCTGTTTGAAGTGTACCGGATGTGCTCGCAAGTGATCAATCTCTTGAAGAATTTCCTTCCTGCTCTTGTTTTTCAGGCGTGACCTCATTCTTTCACTGTTGATGTTGTGCAAGAGTTCTTCTTTGGTCATTTTGTGCCAGGCCTCCTTGCGAACCCTGTAAGGTATGGGCTCGTAAATCTTGGCGAAGTTTTCCTCGAGGTCAGTCCAAGAGTCAGCATCAGAGTGATCACAGTGGCTCTGCTTAGCTTCCTTTGCTTCGTGATGCATCACTCGTCTGAGCATCAATTTGCGCGACTCGTAAACACTTTCCGCTTCAGATTCTGTGTGGTCTTCATCTCTAGGAACCTCGACTTCATCCTTCCCAGTTGTATTCTCGTGATTAGTGTTCTCCAGCTGCTGGATCTCCTCTCTCTCCTCTACAGTATCCTTTGTGTCAGTATCAGCATCCTCATGATGTATTGGCATTGGGTCAGGCATGTGACAGTTTGCTATGGCACTCTGGGACTGAAGAGTTTTAGGTGTAACCTTGTTAACATCATCCTTCGCTGATGCCTCCAGTTCTGCTATCTTCTTCCTCACGCTACCCCGGAAGGCGCGCATCTTAAAGGCTGAAGCAAATTTGCCCACTCCAGAGCTATCTTTGCCGTGGGAAGCCTGCTCTCCCGCTGGAGGGCTCGTTGGTCTTTTACACCCAGAGAGAGATGAACCTACACTCCCTCTAGAGGGACTCTTCCTCAAGAAGTCTCGCATCGTCAATAAATAAAATGTGAAGAGGTCAGCCTGACCAGATTATGTGACAGCCTTGTTTCATGGCTGTCACCACATATATAATGGATACGAGCATTAGTAGGCCAGGGGCTCACACACTAAATGAAACCAGGGTTATCTCTGCAACTCACTGTAGGTTATCATGAGTATTCAAAATATTTCTTCACTAGTTGGGTCACATGACTGTAGAGTTATCACAGTATTTATATACAAAGCGATGGCGCCGTATTTACAAGTGTTGATGTGGTGGCCAACACGGCCACATGAGACTAGCTGGAGCCAGGATCCCTGGAAGACACTAACGTTCACCTCGGTGGCCGCCGTCACACTGAACCGTCTACCTTGACTCCACCCGCTCCCAGACACCCCATCCTCCGACGTACCTGCAACCCACAACTCTCCACATAAACACTCATGGGAAAAACGTGAAACAATGTTCTTGCCATTTACTGGTCTAACACTACTTAATATAGTATCATGGTGACTTAGGGCAAACCAAAGATTCACAAATCCGTTAATAGTCCGACTCTCTCTCCCCCAACACCTCCAGTGACCTATTATTTTATTAACAAGTAAAAAGGGAGAACGAGAACCCATAATTTAGATTACAAAATAACTTGTCCAGAGAAGGCAATAAGAGATAAAGTGGTGGATAACTGGAACGGGTATAATGAGGTAGTATGCCCTGGCCTATACACATCCACTGGAATGTAATATGACGATGCACTGCGTGTAGCGAGCACCAACAGCCTGAGTGATCATGCTTTCTGACCAGAACGAGGAACTATGTACATCCATGGAACCATGTATAAGGTACAAGTATATACCTTGTAGTGGCAGCAGTATAGAGGGCGTGGGCCGGCGCGTAGGACCACCAGCAGCCACTTTACCCGCTACGCGATAAGCGCTAACATTATTACCACTAGAGAAATCACTTGACACACTTGCTTCCAACCCCCGAGAAATCTTTGTGGGGAGAAATTTGCTGACGCCGGCACCACAGGAGCACCTTAAGACGCTGTAAACCTCCAGTACCTCTGTTAGCAGCTATGCATCTCCGTGGTTAGGACACACAAACGCAGACACGCACACTCATGCCCACATGCACGCAAACAAGCATAAACTTATGCGCGAACACGAAACCATCCACGCACGCACAAACATACAATTATCCACGCACGAAGCATGCATAAGTTAACACACAAGCACGCTTCCTTATTCGAACTGGAGTAGGAAAAAAATTGTCAAGGAGTAATATGTATTAAAATATGAAAAACTGAATGTGGGGGAGGTTCGCTGTCAAAGTACAAAACACTTAAGTGAATACAATGTTGGCTTACAAGTTGATAAACAAACGTGGCTCCCGGAAGACAAAAATTTCGGCTTACTGTGTACTTCCATAGTGGCAGGTGTACAATATTATGCACTGCAGTGTCTTAAGAAATATTAGAAGGTATGGCAGCAATCAGTTACAAGCATGAGCTCTACAAGATACAGTGTAGTACTGAGCATTCACCACGATAATACGGAAGAATTAACGAATAAAGCCACAAGGCTACACCTCAAGAGCATCAAATACAAACAATTGATATACTAAGAAAAACTGAACCGCAAGCAATCACGCATGATGAAGGCAAAATACACAGATTTTTAAGGTTTGAGCAAATAAATAGATATAAATATAATGAATCTGGAAAGTCAGTATAAGAAAGGCAACAATACATGACAATGACATTACCAGGTCATTAAAAAATGAGATAGAAACCATGATGTTACATGAGCTGAGAAAGTCATGCAAAAGGACGATATACAGAATTAATACAAAAAGTGACCAAACTAGAGATGGAAGCATGTTTAATGGCAGGTATTGCCAGTAAGTATACTAGGAGAAATACAGTGTAGATCTATCAACTTGTGACCTGACTAGGCTCTACAGAGCAGACCATCTATACTGCCTACATTGTCTTTCTACCAAACTAAAATGAAAACTTCCAGAATATAAATACACTACACAAAACTTACAGTAATGTCAGAAAAAAAAATTAAAACCAAACAGATATATTCAAGTTAAGAAAATAAGATTAATATGTTAAATACTAAATGTACGGAAGGGTACACCTATAAAATAAACGTGTACTGCCGATAATTGACGGTACACAAGCTTTTATTAGGACAACTTATCGCTCTGTGCAGAGATTGATAGTCATACTAATCACTTTATGAAGCCCCTCTCCCCCCCCCCACACACATGTATGCTGTCTCAATAAATGATTGCTGTGCACACATCTCTCTTCTTGCATTATGCAAGTTCTTCCCTCCTCCCCAAACACTGAAGGAAGGAATCCAGTGAAATAATCACTTATCTGTTAGTGGTTTTAGGGATTATTTTACCCACGTCCCGGTGTCAGACTAGGCCTCCTAAGTCGGAAAGGAAATATATACAGGATTAAATATATACTGGAGAGTAATATTATGCGTATACTGGACATAAGGAGAAGTCCGTAAGGTTTACCTGTCATCTTACTTGTTCACGAGACAAAAGTTTTGATCAACAATCCTTTCAGAATATTAAAAATTAACAGATTTCCACTTTACACTCATTTGACAGGAGGGTAGCACTTCCCTGGATAGATGCTGTCCACCAACCTACAGTTAGTGGATACTTGTCAAAACAAAGCCACAGAACCAGACGTCACCCAAGCAATGTAGATAAATGGTTCAAAGAACCAACAAGTTGATAAATTAGACTCGTGTGCAACACTTAAGATAGTTTTATTGAGGAAACGTTTCGCCACATAGTGGCTTCATCAGTCTATACAAAGGAGAATGGTGAAGAACAGGAGTAGTTTGAGGTAATCAGTCCCTCAGCCTTGAGTCGATGTAATCAGTCCATCAACTTTGAAAAGACTGATGGAATACGTATATGTATTCTTTTCAAGACTGACGGACTAATTACATCGACTCAAGACTGAGGGACTGATTACCTCAAACTCCTCCTGTTCACCATTCTCCTTTGTATGGACTGATGAAGCCATTGTGTGGCGAAACGTTACCTTAATAAAGATACGCAAGTGTTGCATATATATCTAGCTTATCATCACCCAAGGTAGATAGGTAGTAGATTCGCCGGTATAAGCGCCCAGTCCGGGCCTTTTCCAAGAGGTGCCCCGGCCTTGGCTCCCTTTCGTGGGAGTGTCTCAGACCAATGTCTGCCATGGGAAGAGGTGCAAGTACCTCCTCGTCTTCTGGGATGAGCTGTCCCAAGGTCTAGCCCCATTCCCTTCCCCCACGGGGCTCGGAGGAAGAAGCTAGGCACCTTTTGCTGCCAGAAACCCCGCCCACACTGGGCTCGAAGGGTGTGGAAGCTACATAGCAGCAGACGATGTCAGGTGTAAAGGCAGCAAGCACTACAGAATCCTTTTAGAGCCACACCCCAGTTTTTGGCCGAAGCCCGAGCGCTGGGAAAGCTCGAGAATGCCTCTTGCTGTGATGATTGTTGCTGCTGCCTCACTTGTCCGTTGCACTCTCCTTTCATCACCCAAGGATTTAAGGTAATACATTATTTATTATAATCACCGGGGTATCACTAATCCTGTAAGAGTTATACAGCGCCTGGGAAATTTGAGGAAACTAAGATTTAATCCAAGTACCTCCAATTCCCAGAATCAAGATACATTCACCAACATCATGGCCCCAAGAGTACAAGAGATAGTGATAATATCGTTGTCGAGGAAAATGTCTCCTGATTCAGTTCTCAAGTTATACAATGAACCACTGAGTGCATTAAGCAACCACTGACCTACCAAGTCTCCTAGCGCCGGTCCTTTGTCATGTGACCCGCTCAGTTATGCAACCACTGACGTACCGGTGTTTGTGTTAAGAACTAGCTGGTGTAATAATGCACCAGCTAGTGTGCCAGTGCAGGGTATGTCATTAAACAACCCCTGACGTCCTGCTGCTATACATATATATTCACAGTTAAACTTACTCTCGCTTACTGCAGCTGGGTTTTCCACATAAGAAGTGTCACATTTTCGTGTTCTATTATTGGCTCACCTTTCATGCATCCACACCATTTACAAAATAATAGTTCCGCTCCTCTTACTAACAAAATATTATTTACGTTCCTCTTACCACAGACAGGTAACATACCTCTCTCTCCCCTACACTCTCTTCATATATAGTGCACGTACATTAAATGTATCCTGGGAAACTTACTACTACTACGTGTGGAGGAATATGTTGTAATTAATGAAACATTAGCTACGTCTGTTCCCTCCCTCAATCTTTCTTCCCCTCGCACATTTCTTATATATTTTGTGTCCCTCTCAGTATCACACAAAATAAAGCAGATCATGTCTGAGTGCAGATGACTGTCAGCAAAGCGAGGAGGTAAAGCAGGGCATCAGAACAGGTAGTTCAAGAATGGGCAGGCACTAACTGGAATGGGGGGAGGGCAACATGGTGGGCATCGCTCCACTCCACTTTAACCACACCCACACACAACCTTTTTACTAGACGCCACAACATGCCCTTGAATCCCACATCCTCCCGCTTCTCTGCACTATTTTCCCCTGACAAGTACCGTTGCAAACACCAATATTCTGTGACCCCACCCCTTCAATACCACTCCGACAGTCACCCAACTCCAAATATCCCCCTTTGGCACCCTTGACCTCGTCCCCACACACAATCCAACTCACTTACAACATACCTCAAAACTTGCCTCGACAGTTCTTTTAACTAAAAATACAAAGGATCTGCTGCACTGTACAAATTAATAATTTACGCAGCCAGTGTCATTGCACCAGCCTGCCAACCATCCAAAGTTAATAAACATCGCTGCACACCGACAGTGCTCCTTAACCATCTTCTTGGGGCTTGTTTACCTGCTTACGTACGTGAAACAACTCTGCACACATTAATTTATCAGTGAATACTTAATGTTTACGTCAGGCAACAAGCAAGAGATGTACTTCACTGGTAGATAAGGAAACTAACGACCTAAGTTACACTGATGCACACAGCCTCGCCCTCATTTTGCCGGACATTTGTGAACCAGTTGGGACTTGACCCCAAGCTGCCAGAGATACAGTTATACCTGAGAAACTTGCTTAAACCCGGTAGAACCATTAAACCATTACACTGCCACCCTGGACATAGGCTCGCTAGGTCGATTTCTGTGATTTAGTGTGATTGACTCAAGGTAGCTAAACTTTATCAAACCTGATGGTATAATAAATTGATTTATAAACAAATACAAGAAGAACAAAAGTAAATTACAAAGAATGAGCAATTTTTTAACTGAAAGACTAAATTGTAGACA